CCTCTCCTAAGAGATCCAAGAAAGATAAGGTAAAAAATGCCAAGTAGGGAGTGGGGGTGGGGTGGGATGGTCAACCAGACAGCTAATATAACAGCTGTGCCTGTGCATTACCTCAAGATTGAACACTGACAAAGCGGTAATTGCCATGGGTTTTCTTAGATGCATTTGGAGTAGTGCCAGTCAAGTACATTCGTGTGGGTATCTAGTATCTGAAAGCCATGGCTAGAAGCTTCCCGGTCAAATTTTTATATTAAGAATATTGTCTTTAGTTTACTCTGGTACCTCCCATGCATTCAAGAACTGAGAGGATGCCACTGTTTGAGATAATTTTGTTAACCTCAAAAAAGAAGAGTGTAGAAAATATATCGCGCAGAAGTTATATAATTGTGTTGTTTATTTATCAATCTCGACTTAGTTATCGAGTATTTTGTATTAGTATTAGGCCACTCTAATATTCATTCGTACATAAAAGATAAATAGGATACAGTTTTCCGGGAGACATTCTAAGAGGTTTTAGTTCAATCTTGAGAACCATTAGGCATATACTCACATATTAGAGCTCGTTTTGAACCTTCAATGCAGAATCCAACAAGTTGCACAATAATTTACATGGTCAATTCTTCCAATTGTTACAACTTCACTGATAAATTCTCTGTCATTATCAACAGAAGCGTCCACTATCTTTTACTGTAACAAAAGGGCCACTGAATCTTTCGTTAAAGACAGTTCCATAAACTCCGTCAACCAATGTCCTCGAATTGTTTGTCATCTTCTTGACCTCAAAGTACATGTACTTTATTGGCATGATGTCATTTTGAAGTAGGAAGTTTTCAAGGGTTTCATCCATTGATAAGTGTCGCCTCCTTGTACGCTGTGAAAAATACGTAGCCGTGAAAGTCTCGTCAAACTCAAGTTAAATATAGTCATTGTTTGTCCTCTATTTCTTAAAATTCATTTTCAACGACATATTTCGTGTGATCTATAATTTCTATCAACTTCTCAACTACAAATTTCATTTACTTTTATCATAAAAACTATGAAAATAAAGATATAGAAAATAGATTGGAAGAGGAAAAAAAATAATATTCTAAAAGTAAAATATGAATCATATGTCTAATACAATTATACAACACCTACATCTATACCTACATCAAGACATTGTCTTTCACGTCTGCTTGATGGAGGCCATGTCAGCTTTTATTGAAAATATTTTTTAAATATTTCTACTTATTTAAGAAATATTTAAAATAATTTATGGTTGCATTGAAGATGGCCTTACATTTTAAAAATGAATGAAGATTTAAATGTTTATTAAACCTTGGTGGGGATTAATATCAAAATTTTTAGTAAATTTCGATAAAAGTTAATAAAGGCTCTGTTTGGGAGGGATTTAGATTTTTCTACAGTAAATCAATTCTCATTTTCAACCACACATTATTCAATAAAATAATATTTTCCATTACATCAATGATTTTTTCTTCTTTTTCAATCACACATTTTCCATCATATCACTATTCAAAATCAATTCTTCCGCCAAAAATCCCACCCAAACAAGCTCAAAATGTATAGCTGAAAGGTTGCTATTCATAAAATATATTATTAAAATTAAGTATTGATTAAAATTAAAATTAAAATCTAAATTTTAATTCCTACCAGTTAAGTGTTGGCTATTATCTATTAAATATCACATCAAATGAATCATTTTTAGACGATTCTCTAATATCTTACTATTCACTTTTCTATAATTTAATTATTTCAATAATACTTTACTTTTCATTTTTCAACATATATTTAATTTATTTAACCATTTAGTTATCATCAATGTACATGTACATTCGACAGATTCATTTCACTTGTTTTCTTTTAATAATATATGAATTTTCTATTATTAATTCTCAATTATTTAACATTCACATTTAATGAATTAATATTCATCTTCATCTATGTATTTTAGTGTTATTGATTCTAATTATAAGTTAATTAAAATTTCAAATTCAGAAATGCATTTCATTATTCACGTTCATGTATGCTAATTAAATTTCAATTTTACTTAATTAGAAATTAAATAAATAATTTTAAAATTTATTGTCTCTTATATATTTCCTTATATTAATTCTAAATTAATTAATATTTGCGTATATTTAAATATTACTTTTATAACGCTATAAAACATTTCATAATGACTTGCGAGATACGTTCAACATTAACTAGTTTCTAAAGTTCCAAAGAAACAGAGGGGCCCAATTTGGAATTTCCACAAACAACGAGGACTATTCCGTCATTCTCTTTAAAAACAACATGTCAAAAATCAATCATAATGTGTAACACACGTGGAACTTGGTATTACCTTTAAGACTTTCGATCGCCGCCTTTCTTGCATTTCAGTAGATCCTACCCTCAGTTAAAACCGCCTCCCCAGTCTCTCACCACGCGCCTCCGCATAAATCCCCAAACAGTAAAAATCTCAACCTACAAAATACTAGAACCAGTATGGAATCGATCGCAGTCAATTGGGAAGCACTCGACGCACTCGTAACCGACTTCGCAAAATCCGAGCAGTTGATCGAAGACGCGCAATCACCTCTGTTATCGCCGTCAACCACGACATTCGCTTCGCGATTATTGATTCGTCAGATTAGACGGTTATTAGAATCCGGTGAAATTGACTCCGCCATTAATCTCCTTAGAGTTCACGCGCCATCCGTCCTAGATGATCATCGCCTCCTATTCCGCTTGCAGAAACAGGTTTTTTTCTCTGGATTTTTTTAGCTTGCGGGTTCTTTTTG